GAAATCTTAAGGGTGTGAGGCTTAGGAGAGGAAAGGAAGAAGAGATCTTAAGCTACCACAAAGGAGGAGAGAATAGCTATAGAGTTAGAGAGGAGGAGAGCATCTTGAGGCCTTGTATCAAGGTGTCGCTTGAGAGGGAGGCCATAGAAGGAAGATGAGGGCTCATCTCTATGTATAAGCTATGTATTCTCCATTTCTTTTGCCTTAGTGAAATATTTGATTGATTCCCTCCCGTGGACGTAGATCCAGTTGGATCGAACCACGTAAACGATCTGTGTTTGCTTGTGTTCTTTTTCGTCTCATTTCTATGCTAGGAAGTAAATATCTCACAACAATTGGCGCCGTCTGTGGGAAGATCCATACTTCTTGGCTAGAGGTGTCCGCGTAAAGGTGTTCGCGGCCAGCGACGAAGAAGAGGAGTTCGACATTCACGAACAGAGGAGCAAGCAGATCGTGTCGCAGGTAGCCGAATCGCGACAGATTCGGTGAGCAGTGAAAGCTTTGATTGACTGGATTCGCACCGCAGGGTGTGCGGTTTGGCGAGAAGGAGGAACAGTCATCGAGCGAGGGCCGAAAATTTGCGACAGGGCTGCCAGCAGAGGATTTCGGTCTTGCGAGCAGCTCGGCTAGAGGGAAGAGGTGGAGATCGCGCAGAGAAGGGTTCGGGGAGTTCCCTGTTCGGGAGTTCGCGAAGCAGGAGGACCTGAGCAGTTTGGCGAGGCGCGACGGCTCTGGAGAGGCAGTTATTCTCATGCGAGACGCAGAGGAGTGCTTGCGGAAAGGAGGCGCGAGCACAGAACAAGAAGTTTTCTCCGGTGAACAGGTGTAATCTCTGCTAGAAGGGATCAGAGCTCTCCGGTTCAGTTGACGAAGGCAGTGAAATTCACGGGGAGAAGTTCTTGGAAGGGCAGCAGGTAAAATTCATTTGGAAGAAATCCTAGCCACGACAATGAGTTCCATCAAATTCGACATTGAGAAATTCAATGGGAAGAACGACTTCGGCCTATGGAGAGTAAAGATGAGAGCTCTATTGGTTCAACAGGGTGTTGCAGAAGCCTTGCAAGGGTCGGCGGCATTGCCGGCCGACATGACCGAGAAGGAGAAGATCGGCATGCTGGACAAGGCTCACAGTTTGATAATCCTGAGCCTGGGCGATAAAGTTCTGAGGGAGGTGTCGAGAGAGACAACGGCTCAAGCACTTTGGGCCAAACTCGAGGTACTCTACCTGACAAAGTCTCTGGCTAATAGACTCTTTCTGAAGCAGCGCCTATACTCCTTCAAAACGCATGAAGACAAATCCGTCTCAGAGCAGATCGACGAGTTCAACAAGATCATCGACGACCTCGAGAACATCGACGTCAAGATGGACGATGAGGACAAGGCACTACTGTTGCTAAACTCTATTCCCAAGAGCTACGAGCATTTCAAGGATGGGATGCT